TTTGGCTCAGCTCGGCTCAGCTAGGTCCCCTTTGGCTCAGCTCGGCTCAGCTAGGGCCCCTTTGGCTCAGCTCGGCTCAGATAGGTCCCCTTTGGCTCAGCTCGGCTCAGATAGGTCCCCTTTGGCTCAGCTGGGCATGGCTCAGCTGGGCACAGCTCGGTTCAGCCCCATTTGGGCTGGTTCAGCCCAGCTCAGTTCAGATCGCGTTGGCACGGCTCGGTTTGGTGCACCAGGGATGTGTCATCGGTGTCTGGCATAGGCGTTGACTGTCCCTGTCCCTGTCCATGCCCGGAGAACTTTGTGCAGGTGACAAGAAGGAGGAAGGCAGAGGAGAACCAGAAACACCTCTGTTGTGCTGGTTAGTTTTGTGGGGAAGGTGGTGTGATGGGATAAACTGTTTGGGACCCCCTGGTTATCTGGACACTCCACCATTAGCACTGGCACAGGAATCTGAAAAAAGAAACTGGGGTGTGTAGGGGAAGTGGAACAAAGCCAGCGAAGTGCTCTCCCAACAGCAACAGTACTCGGTGCGTACAAACGAACAGCTTTGTAAAATTGCTCCCAGCGATGGCTAAAGGACTTTTCTTCTTGTTTGCTGAAGATGCTTTGTGCAACTTCAGCATGTGAAAGTGCAGATTCACATGCAGGGAGCAGAGATGTCCTCCAGTTATTGCCATCACCAAGGACGCCACAGACTAAAAATATCATTTTTAACCTCCAAGTTAAACCTGTGGTAATTACCCCGTATCCGACAGCACCTCTTTGGCTCTTTGAGTGAGGGCTTGTGAAGCATAACTTGGAGTGGATGACTCTGGTTTATTAAAGGGCCAGAAATATTGTAGAATATATAAATTCAGAAATAGCTTAACCCACTGTCCTGGAAGACCCAGGTCCCTGAAGGTCTAGGTGGTAGCACGGTGGCAGCTCCTGCATCTGGGGGTCTCCAGGCATTTGGTTTGGGAGGAATAGCAGCCCTGTTTTGCAGGGAGGAACCATGAAGCCCGGAGAAGCAAAGCAGCTGCCCAAGGTTGTCCAGCAGCACTCAGATTAGGCTGCATTTCCTAAATCAGCGGAAAAGAAATCCTCTTGCGCTGGATCTCAGCCCCTCTCATCCTTGGCTGCCCATGTCCCCTGAAGGGTGACCAATTCCCCTTTGTGCCCCAGACAGCAGGTCCTGGGCAGCTCTTTAGGAGGTGGCACTCATGAGGACCACTTGTTCCAACATGTTCTCCCCCCTCTTGCAGAGCTGCGTGCATTAAACCACTTTGGGGAGGTGCCAGAAAGACCTGTTTTACCTGTAGAGATGTCCCTGGGTCAGGCTGCGTATCCACAGGGCACGTCTCAGAGCTGAGCTCCGGCAGAGCCTGGCTCAGGGCTAAGCTCCTGTGTGCTGTCCTCGTGTCTTCCACCGATAGCTGGATGGACGACCGCTGACACTGGGCATTAGCCCTGTGTTAATGCTTTTGCTCCTCATGAGCAGGACTCATCCCTTCCCTGGAGCTTAGCAGACAAATCCAGCAGCCCTAAAACCACATGAAATGGTGAAAACACCTTCATGGCAGACCCAACTCCCAGCCCTGCAAAAACTGGCGGGGATTGAGCCTGCCTGGAAGATGAGCTGGTGGGAGATGCGCAGACCAGGTGCCTGCTCGGAAATCGCCCCAAATGGGCTGGGCAGATCCAGGCTCCGATCCAGGCTCCCTCCCCCTTCCACCAGAGCCAAGAGCCTGGGGGAGAGATGGAATTTCACCCTGGGGCCTGGGAAAAACCCAAGCTCAGGTTACAAGGCTTCCCTACAGCCCAGTGGTCCTGCTGTGGAGCAGCTGCCCCAGGGCTCCTCCACAGCACCCCTTGTGCTCCTGAGAGCAGGGATGTGGCGGTGACCCCGGGCAGACGGATGTGGCCTTGTGAAAGTCAGCTGTGAGGCTGTGCCCGTCCTGGAGAAACTGAAGAAGAATTCAAAGAAGTGTGCTCATCACTTTAATATTGAGTTAATAGTAGATTACACATAAAGAGCCCAGGAATTCCCAGGATTGTTCCCACAGTTCTCCCCTTGCTGCTGGTCTCCATGAAGCGCTGATAGCCCCCACTGATCCAGTCTGCATCCTCCCTGGTCCCCAAAGAAACCCAGAGAGATCCGCTGCAGCCATAGGACCATGGAGTCCTCCCAGTTCCTCCCAGCACTGCTTCAGCTCCGGAGTCTCCCCTGCAGCCAGGAGTCCTCAAGGACTCAGTTCCCCCCACCACTGACAGGAGTCCTTCTGGAGTCTGCAGGTAGCTGGAGCTGTTGTGCTGAAGGAGGAGAGACACGCTGCTCCACTCTCTTTATTCCCAAAACCAAGTCTTGCACCCCACCTCCGTCATTCCTCACCCCCTCCCCTCCCTGCAGGGCTGGCACTGATCACCCACAGCCTCATGATCCAGGGATGGATTTGCCCTACACCCGCTGAGCTTGGCAATAAAAGGCACCAAGCCCAGATACAAGATCACAGCAAACACCACCGACACCCAGAAGCTCCCAGGCTGCTGTCAGCACGACCTCTCCCGTGCCAGGGCAGCTGGTTTAGTCTCACATCCGAGGCTCCCCAGCGCTGCAGCCAACGGCTCAGCTCTGGTTTGGAGAGCGCTGTCCTGTGAACCACGCGGGACCTTCAGCCAGACATGGAGCGCACATCCGAGGGAAGCATCAGGCTGGGGTCTGTGCTGCTGAGATGCTCTGCTCCAGAGACCTGGGTGAGAGCGAGATCAAAGCCCACGCAGGGCAAAGAAGGGACTGCAGGACCAGGGAAGGACAGCAGCTAACCTCCTGGTGTGGAGGGGGCCCCAGAAGGGAGGGGTCCCTGTGCTGCTTTATTCAGGCCAGAAAAGGGTCAAATATTTGGTGCATGTGCCTCCTCACCTGGCTGTCCCGATCCATGGCCACTACAGTCATCGTCAGAGCCACTGCTTTGGTCCTGGCACTCTCTGCCTGATGGAAGAGGATGAGACGCGTTATATCCCACCCTGGTGCTGCCCCCCCGACAGCCAGTCCTGGCTCCCTCCCAGAGATGACCCTGGGAGCACAGCTGCATGCCCAGTGCTTTGGCCAGATGCACTTATGCTCACTTGGAGAGAGAAACTGAGAGCTGCAGCCTTGCGGAGGATCTCCCCAGAGACCTGCAGGGCCAGGCAGCCTTCAGCACCAGTGTGCAAAGTCTGCTGGTTCCCCGTGCGGGATGCGGTAGAATCGGCCGAGAGTTGAGCTGAGAGCGCCTCAGCCAAGGGCACCTCCTGCCAAGCTCGCTGGGACGAACCTCCAGCCCTTCAGTGCCAGCTGGCGCGAGGCTGGCTTGCCCTTTCCCTCCGCCCTGGCCCAGCTCATCAGCACTGTGATGGTGCCAGGCCAGGACTGATTGGCTGGTTAACCCCCCCCTGCACTATCTTCCTGCCACAGGCAGCAAGACTCCTCCCCTGGCTTTCACAACACGCGCCCAGAGCAAAGGTTGATAGAGCAGGGACGATGCCAAGGGAAAGAAGGGTGGGATGGACAGGGAGATGGTAGGGATGAGGGGGGCTCTCTGGTCCCCCAGACAAGGAGCAGTGTCACAAGTGGAGTAGAGAGAGTGTGGCAGTCCTGATGTTTGGAGATGTGGCAACTCTCTCCCAGCTCTGAAGATGAGTGTTTGGAGGAAGGGTGAGAAGATCTGCCCATCTCAGTACCTCCAGATGCCCCAGAGCTGCTGCTTCCCCTCCTTTTCCACCTTCTCAGAGGATCAGCTGCTAAGCACCCTGAAATGCTGGGGGTTGCTGGTTTCTGCTGGAGCACAAGCAAATGTTTCTGAAGGGCTGAACAACAGATGGGATTTTTTTTTTTTTTTTTTTGGCAGCTAAAAGGCGGTTAAGTAGCCCACTAGAATTTACAATGTCACTAGAATACATTAAGAACGTAATCTCGGTAGCAACCCAAGGATAGGAATGTTTGCTTTCGTGACACACTCTGTGAATGATTACTTGTGACACCACTCCCAGCAAATCTGTTTGCAACACCAGCCAGCCTTGAGCCACGGGCACACTGAGCTGCGCCGCGGCCACCAGCAGCACTGGGAAGTGGAAACACAGAGAAACCAGTTTGCAGAGCCCAGGCAGGGGACCCAGGTGTCCTGACACCCGTGTATTGACCTGACCTGCTGTGCACTGCCAGAAGGAGGAGATGTGTAATTAAAGCTCTACAATTTGAGGCCTGATGCTGCTCCCATCTCTGTCACTGACCCACCACATGGCCATGGGCAGGTCACTTTGGTAGCTGGTTTCCTCCTCCTCACCACCACACCGGGAATGACCAGTGTCCCTCCTGTTTGAGGGTTCAGGGCTGCAGCAGCACCCGCTCTGTGCAGGAGAGCCCAGGACAGTGGCAAGACCAAAGTCCAAGCGTCATCGCAGAGCCCGCACTGCCGACCACACTTGGCTTATCACTGCGCAGGCGACTGTTTGCTGACAGGGACGTCTGCAGGGACAGCCCCTGCCAGGGAGAGCGGGATAAGAGAACGCAAAGGAACAAATGAAGTTGCGGAGGAGCAAGCAGCTTCCTGACCTGCCTGAGGGACCTGCCAAGGAAGCACCAAGAGGGACCTTTTGTAGGAGATTTAACTTAGCCATTCCCACACAGAGGCAGCAGCAAGGCTTCCCCCTGCCAGGGGAAGGGCATGAGCAAGCACTGGGCTGGCAGGTGTTGAAAAGCCCAAGCCCAGCCAAGCTCTGGGGACTCCACCAGCATTGGTGGCTGGACCTTGGTGGAGCAGCACCAGTGTTTCCAGCTGAGCTGGTGTTAATCTGCTCATCTTGGAAGGGAGAGACAGCTTCTGAAACTGCTGTTTCCCAGAATATGAACTCTGTTACTTGAATGAAGCCTGCGATGGGAATCCAGCCTCCTCTCTCCAAGCCACTGAACTCTACAACGTGCCAAGTGTCTAATACGATCAGGAAAGCAAGGGTGTTCAGAGGCATGCTGTGATCCCCCACCTTGCTGTAGGTGCAGCAAAGCAAACTGCTTTAGAGAGGAAGATGTCTCACCTTCCGCTCTAGAAGATGATGTGGAGTCCGTCTGGGCTGGGAAATCAGAAAACTCCACCAGACGCCCACAATCTTTTCCAGCTTGCAGCAAAAACTTTCGGCCATGCCCAGCAGGCTGGTGGGGGGAGCGACCAGGCGGACTTTGGGCACAGGAGCTGCCCCAGGACGTGGCCAGGTACCACAGGTCCTGCTGAGGAGCGGCCCTGGCCTGGCCCAGGTGCTGTACCGTCGTGCGAGAGGCTTTGTGGTGGGGAGGCTGTCAAACACACGGAATCCTTCTTTTATGGCGAAATCCCAAGCCAGGTCAGCCACGAACTCTGCATCCTCCGGGCTGCTTTCACCTGGGGCTGGCTTCCCTGGAGACCAGAGAACAGGACACCTTCGTTTGAAAGAGTTTGTGTTATGTATTCACATCCCAAACAGCACCATGTGCCCTTGTCTGGGCCAGCCCAGTAGGACTCTAAGGAGTACGAAAATAGCATCTTGTTTTTCTCTGATAAAGACTCCCAAGCCAGACCTGATGTATGCAGATAAACAGCACTGAGAGTTCACACCACCTCTCTGAATCTCTGTGCCAAGGCTGGAGCTCAGTCTGAAGGTCTGAGAGCTCCACCTGTAGGACACGGCTCTGAGCCCTGAACTCTGGCCTCTGCTCAGTTCTCCCATGAAAGAAAAGTGACCACACAGCAACCTCTGACCAGCACAAAAAGGAACAGAGCAGACCTCACATCCAGCAAAACGCAGCCGCTGGGGAAATGCCCGGTGTGTGCTCCCCTCTGGCCCTTTCTCCTGTCTGCAGGACACATCCTGACCGCACAAGGCAGCCTGCCTGAGGGGCTACAGCAGCCTCTCACCCTCCAGAGCCTGTGCCGTGGAGGCAGGGAGGGGGCCCTGAGCTTTACACGATACTCTAGTCGCATCCCTCTTGTCTACACGCAGCAGTAACTCGTTGCACAATTACTCCCAGGTCACTCAACTCCAGACTGAAACAAAATCTCTCATTTTGATCCCTTATTTCCTACTGGAGCTCTCTGATGAAAGCACAAGACCATCAGACAGGCCACGCTTTGCTGCAGCACCTGGAATTTCAGAGCTCTCAGGATTCACAGGCCCGAGCGCCCAAGCTCTGCAGCACACGCTGCCAGGCTGACCTGCCCCAGTTCAGCGTCAGAGCTCTCCCCGTCTGTGCTCTGGCTGGAGACCTGTGCAGCACAGAGCCAGCACGGTTGGGTTCCTCACCTTCCAGAGAGCGTTTGTAGAGTCCCTGCAGCATTGCAGCCAGACGGAAAAAGGCAAAGGCCATGTAGAAATTCCAGTTCTCAGGATGCTCCACTCCCATGTGGCCACAGTACATGCGGGAATACTCCTCTGCCGTGGGGACTCCCAGCTGCCCCAAATCACGCTTCCCCAAGCCTGGAAGACATGAAGAGGGAACAGTGAGGAGCAGACAGTGAGGAGCTCTGGGGTTTTTTGGGATGCTGTGAGGCTCGTGGCAGAGTCGTGCAGCTGTGGAGCAGCAGAGACCCCTGCGCCCATCCAGCCCCTGCGCTGCTGCCACGCTGTTCCTGTACATAACAGTGCCACCAACCCGCGCAGGTGAAACGCACACAGGGCACACAGGGCAGTGTTCTTCACTGGGGTGAGGTTGTGAACGCACTGACTGATGGATCTTGCTCCTAAACAATGGAGCGATTTTCCTCTCTGCTTAGCCCTATATTGTTCTTTTTAACAAGTGTATCACTTTAGGGACAAACCCCTTCTGGGCTGTCCTGCTTCACAGATTTCCCACCCAAAAGGCTTCCTTAGCTTTACAGCTGAAGTGAGAGCAAAAATAATCCAAACTAATTTTTAAATGCAGTTTTGCAAGCTGTGAAGCCCTCCTCTCTGGTACGAGACCCACAGCCCTTTCCAGCTGCACTGAGCCCAACTGTCAGCTGAGCTCTCTGGGCAGGAGCGGATCTGTTTCTGAGCTCCGATTCCTCTCTGCGTGAGTTAACTGTGACTTTGCCCCTCTCTGTACCTCTCAGCGCATTAAAGTGAGGTGGCAGGAAGTAGGCCATACAGTTATTCGCCAAATCAGAGATGGGATCACCTAGAGTTGAACGCTTCCAGCCAAGGACAGCAAGGACCTCTGGCCTGTCTGGATGAAAGACCAGGTTGTCCATCCTGTATCAGAGGGAAAAAAGAGATCAGAAAAGTCTCAAGAGGGGGAAAAAAAATCCCAGTGTTCAGCAGCAGTAGGTGCTTTCCAGTGCTCTTCGCTCTCTGCAAAAATTGCTGAGTCTTTTGGGAGCCTGTGCAAGCGAAACATTAATTTCTGCAAGCGTAGGTCAGGGAGGACTGAGATTACTCAATAGTGAACTCCCTGGTTAATGACGAACTAACTGAACTGTGCTTTGGAGTTGTTACAGGACAAGCTAGCCAAAAAGTGAAGCTGGCAAGTCACTGTCCAGGGAGACCTTCTGGTCATTTCAACGGCACACAGTAACTCCAGGCCCAGCGCACAGCTCAGCCTTCACCAGTTTCAGCCCCAGGGCAGGGCAGCAGGCGACTGAGGAGGAAACACACGGCATCCATCCTGCCAGGGTGCAGAGAGCTCACCAGCTTCCAGTCACGCAGGAGCTGTGTGTGCTAAACCTTGGGGGAGCAGCCTTGGCCCAGAATTGGCACACACCAGGGTCTGACAGCGCAGAAGTAGCTCTCAGCATCCCTCCCCTGTGTCCCCAGCCACCGCGCTCCTGCATGACTTCACCTGTAACAGCGGCGGGTTTTGCCACACATCCTGCAGCATCTCAGCAGCCACCCAAACTCTTCAAGCACCAAACCTCGTTAGCAACGTGCACCGGGACTGATTTCTGAGTATTGCAGAACAAGGTGGTGATCCCCCAGTGTTAGACCAGTGCTTGCAGTGGCTGGGAAAAAAAACTCTGAGACGCCAATGAGGCACCAAGATTGGAACCGGACATCAGGAGCCCAGGCTTTCAGTTCCTGCCTCAGTTTCCCTGCTCTCGAACAGGCACTGCTTTAAACTGCCATGATCAGCAGGCAGACAAACACAGGAGAGCTCTGGGTGCAAGACAGCACCAGTCAGAGCTCTTGGGTACGTTTCTCGTGACAGATGCAAAGGGCTCGCGGCCCTCTAGATCCTGTTACCTGAGGGAGGCTGACCTTGACCCAGAGCCCAGCTTTCGGGCTGTTCTGCCCAACTCAGCATCTCTTTGAAGTCTGCAAAATGCTTTACACTCTACTGCCTGCGACGTGCTCCAGGGCAGTGCTGTCAGACAAGCAGTACCTGAAATCACCGTGCACCACAGTCGTCTTCTGAGATTCAGGAAAATGCAGAGGCAGCCACTCAATGAGTCTCTCCATGGCTGGGATAACACGAGTTTCCACAGCTTTATAGTGCTCTGTCCAGGTCTCAACTTGCCGCTGAATGTAATTACCTGCAACAGAGGAACGAAGGCTCCCAGGGAAAAGGACAGACACAAAGAGGCTTCAAAAGAGCTGCAGAAAAGGTGCATGGAGGAAAAGTCAAACAGCCAAGCAGCTCTCAGTCCTGCACCCTGAGATAATCTCCAAGAATTTAATTGTAATTTCCAGGGGTCGCATCCATTCTTAACTGAGCACTGGGTTTGATATTCTGGTGGAAATAACCAGATCCTGGACAAAAACATAACTTCTCCACCAACTCTGAGAAGCTAAGACAGCCCTGCAGAGAGACTGGAGCAGCTGAGGAAGTTTGGTCAGAGATGGCAGCAAACGAGTTCCTCCTGCACACACAGTGCAGCTCTTGCTCATGGACTACTAACAGGAAACACAGACTCGGAGGATCTGATGCAGCTCTCCACACCCTCCCACCATGCCTGGAGATTCAGACACCCTGCTGCCCATCTTGACTTGCCCAACTGCCCCCAAGTTTGGCCCAAGTCCTGTACCTGAGCCTATCCCTTGAAATGCTGATACTCAGGAGAAGCAAACAGCGACAGAGGATACACAGCCTTCTCTCACCATGCTCCCCGAGGTCCTCCAGCTTGGCTGCTCTGAGGTCTACGCTGTGGATCTTGCAGAGGACTTGACTCATGGCAGCATAGATAGCCCTGCGCTGGCTGGATGGCAGCGTGGGGAGGGAGATGTCGCTGTAGACGTGGCCAGCACGGTGCTCCATCAGGTAGAAAGGTGTGCCGAGGGTGCTGGGGAAGCAAGGTGGAACCGGCGGCTCTGAGGTTAATCCTGCTGCCTACCACCCCTCAGACCTCACCTGCACCCTGAACACCCCCCCAGGCCTCACCTGCACGAAGGGGAAGAGCAGCCTCACCAGCACCTGAGCACTCACACCCAGCTGTGGCCACACTCAAGCCCAGCTCGGGCTGCCAGCCGGTGGCACACAGCCATGGCATGATCAGTCCCTGTCCCTCCAGCCCTGGGAAGCTGAGCTTGGGGCCAGGCTGCAGCACCAACCACCTCCCTGCCTCCCCTGCCAGGAGCTCTGGAGCTGGGCTGTCAGGCTGCACGCAAACACCGTGAGCAGCCGTCACATGTTTAACTGCAGTGCAGAGACTTTCCTCCTGCAGCCAGCATAGATCCGAGCATAGCTGTCCTGGCTGCAGACTCGACAGCATGTCCCGCTCTCAGAGATGCTGCTATTGCAGCTGTAGATCTTGGGGCATTAGAAAAATCACCTTATTGGAAACCTGAGCATACTGAGTCAGTGGGAAGCTGACCACATTGTTTTATAGCTGCTTTTCAAAGGCAGATAGAATTTTGATTAATAGAACACACCTAATTTGAGACAAATAAAAGTGTTACTGTCCTTCGAACTTTGAGAGGTTCCTCTAGCCCCAGACTGGGCAAACACTAATGAGACCAGTGCACTTTGTGATGTCTGGCTCCTTCTCTCCTTATCTCTGGGGGAATCTGGCTGACGTTGGCAAGCGCAGAGTGAAAGCTGAGGGGAAATATTACCTTCTGTCCTCGCAGAGAGCAAGTACAGCAGGAACAGGAACACCAGCCGCAGCGAGTGCCTTCAGGACCCTGCCGGGGCGAGTCAGAGAGCTGCGTCAGCACAGGAGGGCTTCAGGGAATCGATACCAGAACTGCACTGTTGCTAGGCAGACACACAATATTAAAGACAGCCCTGTGCTCCATTTTAAACACACTCAAATAGCGTGGCTGCGGGTAGGGGAAAACGGCACACCAAAATCTTTGTATGGCTCAGAGTCCCGAGACTAGCACTGAAAAAACAAGGGGAGATGACAGCAGCCCCCCCACAAGCGTCCTGCTGCTCTGCTGCTGAGGCAGAGACCTCAGGCACAGCAAGCTGGTTTGCAGCACGACCGCTGCAGCGTGGGGTTGGCCCTCAGCCAGGCTCCTCACTGCTCAGCTGCTGTGTTGTGCTGTGACCTCTCTCCCACCCAAAGGGCCAGATGCCACGGTGGGATCCTCCCGACATGTGCTGGGCGAGCTGTGGTGTGCTCCGTGGATGGGAAGAATCGCAGCGAAGGAGTGAGGAGGGGGCTTTTCACAGGCACAGGGTCCTAACTGCCAGCTGCAGGGCGGTGGCACAGCCTTGTCTCTCCATCCAGGACTGCTCACGCTCGCTGAACCAAGCAGACAGACCCCAGACTGGGATACGGAGCTGTGCAAAATGCAGGGGAGGGAGATGAGGAGGCAGGTGTGTGAACTGTGTGTGTGATGTGGAACAGAAAAGCCAAGGCTGGCATAGAGCACTGTCCCTGGGATGGGGTTCTTTGGGATCTCGTCTACAAGAGCCTTCCCTGGCCAGCACAGCTCTTGCTCACCTGTATTCCCGTCCCACAGTGGGGCCCAAGGGCTGCGGGCTGTCAGAGGGCTCCTTCTTCAGCACCAGCGAGTGATCTCCAAACTTGACATAATAAGTCCGGGTGGACTGTCCGTGGCCAAACTGCTGTAACACTAGTGGGCCTGAAGAGTTGAGAGCAGAGTGTCAGCAGACAGAAGCATGAGCTGGGATTATCTTTCACCATTTCTCCAGGTTTTACTTCCCCTTCCTGTGCCTGGGTCTGAGATCTCACTTGCAGTAATCAGAAAACTGTGTCCCAAATCCCTGGGGATTTGCTCCTGTGTCCCATATCCCTGGGGAGCATGGCATCCCACAGATGGCTCACAGGCCAGGCACATTCCTGGCATCTCTTTGGCAACTTGTGCTCAGCCTCTCCCAAAAGAGGAAATCCTAAAATGTTGTTTCCCATTTCTAGAAAATGGTGACGGATCACTGAAACCTGAATGGCTGCACCGTTTGCTTGGAGATGAGAAGCCTTTCCTTAACATTATTTTTAATTTCATCTGTTGCATGATGGAAAGAGCCACTGGCTCCAGAATTCAGCCTGAAGAGCAAAAAGTGCTCCAATACCTGCTGCGTGGTCACAGAGAACATTTTCAAGGTATTTTTGCAGACGATCTTTTGGGATTTCCATGCTTGATCTCACTGAACGAGTATATGGAACAAACCCTTGCAAAGGAAAACCCAGATAGGTTTCCAGCTCTTTGAGTGCTGCTTCTGGATCATCGACCTGAAAGCAGGAGGGAGAGAGAAACCCTGGGTGACAGAAGATAAAATTGCCTGGGAAAGAAAGAGCTCTGCACAATCGTGATGGATTTATCTGTGAGTCCAACGGCATTGATCCACTACGGAATTCATGGGTCTGAATGAGGTCCATATAGGAGAAGTGACTTCTCCCAGGTTACACTGGCTGTAGGGTTTGGAGCTCAAGTCAAACACAGCTTCTGGACTCAGAAACTCTAGCCCAAGCCTGCCCCGGTTGCATTGCTTTGTACCTTCACCGTTTGAATGCCAAGCTGGGCTGCTGCTTTCAGGCTCTGGCTGCTGTTGTCGACCAAGATGGATTCCTGGGGCTGAACGCCCAAGCGCTCCACGCACAGCTTGTAGATCCGAGGATCTGGCTTGCGCATTCCTTCCCGAGAAGATTCAACCATCTACAGCAACAACAAATGAATTATGCATGAGCCTACTGTGACCACAAACATGCGTGCAGTGTTGGAAATGGAGGGTGGGAGGGTGGGAAAGAGACTGACAGTCTAAGTAACATGTGAAATAAAGAACATGGGGAATGGAGGGCTGACGGAGCTGGAGAGGATGTGATTCAAGCGACCGCGTGGGTGCCAATTGCTTGGCTGTGGCTCTGTCAGCTCCAATAAGCTAAACAGGATCAGCCAGTCCTTGGATGGAAGATCTCCAATGAGATGTTAGGATGTGGGAGACTCACTGGATGTCCCAGACTGTGCTGAACCAATTGGTCAACGCTGTCCAAGAAAGCCTTGGGTTGCACCACCTTCCCAATGATCTGGAAAAGCAGTCTCCTGCCCACTGCACCTATCAACCATGCCAAAGCAATCTTCACAGCAGCACAGATGTTGACCATAATCAGCTGCCCAAATTTGGAACAAAAAAATCTCGAGTAAGTCTCTGAACACTCATATTGCCCTCAAAACCACAAAAAAATCAAGCAGTGTTTCACCCCTGCACTGACAGACCCTCCAGGAATACAAATGAATCTTTTAGATAGACATAAAAGCCAATCCTAACAGAAATCCACATTAAATTCTTCTTTATTTTTCAGTAATTACTGTGCAGTCCTGCTGCCTGCTGTTACGGAAGAGCCACCCCGCATGAGTGATGACACCAGATTGGCCACGGTTATTAAAGGGCTTGGAAACAGTCTGGGATGAAAGGTACCACAGACCATCACAACAGAGCATCCCTGCAGGAAGAAACCTTCCCAGGCACCGCTGTCACTGGTACGATGCACAGAAAGCCCAGTCCATAAAGATAGAACATTGACAAGATTACTTTAAACAGTCACAGGTTTAAAATATATCGACATTCTCTTCTTTGCATATTTTGTTGTCTCAATCAAGGCTATAAAACAAGCTTAAGTCATGAATAAACTCCTGAAATTCAAAGATGTGAGTTGGGGCACACAAAAAAGCGAATCTTCTGTCATGCGGAGGCGAGTCCTCATAGCTGCCTGTTAAAGTGAAGCCGCTCAAACCAGCCTCGAGGTTCGTGGCTACCCTTCTGCTTCATTTTTGCAAAATCAAAGTGTGCTGGGAGCGGGGTCTCTGCCTGCTCGTCAGCTCGGACAGATCAGCATGTTGGGGCAGTGGGATTTTTGGGGGATGCTTTCCAATTCTTTGGGATGAAACAAGCTTTAAAAGAGTAAGAACTAAATACAAGCAAGCAGGGACACTCAGTAATAACAATTATTTATTGTATAGTGTTCCAGCTTCTAAGTCCGTTACTGACCTTGCTAGTTTATGTCTACTAACCCATACTGCCGGCTGCCATTCATTTGGTGCCTGCACATGAAGAATTTCAGCTGCAGCTTTCTATAGACCCAGCTACAGAAACGGACTTTGGAATCCATCCAGGCTTACCACATCAAAGTGCTCTCGGTCCAGGGGCAGAAAGCTCTCGCCATTCATCAGACAGAAGCTGTTGCTCAGAAGAGCTGTCTTGAGACCTTCAGCACGGATACACTGGACTGCTTCTGCCATTATGGGGAGCTGTTTTATCATCTCCTTTCTGATTAAGTCCGAGAGAAAAGACTCCACTGGAACACAGACATTTGCCTGAGAAACCAGAGAAACCCCCAAGAATTACAATTAGCCATAAATGGTTTTTAAACAGGGAGGAAAATAAGAGTGGTTGGGTAGGTAGGTTGCCTGATCACCTTATCTTGCTATCCTACTTGCTTTGGCAGCAGAAGACAGTCAGTGGATCCCCCAAGCTAAATTGGTTGGAACAAAAAACCAAACATTCTCACATCACTAATTCTATAGAAGCAGCAGCAGGGATAAAACGCTGATTTTGAGAGAGAAATGCACTAGGGCTGTGCCTGCCATGGAATCAAGGCAGGTTAGAGACAAATACTGCATTACCATTCAGCAGGCGGGAAAGGAATCTGCATTTTTAGACAGAGCTGCTTCAAAAAGACTTTATTCAGAAGAGGATTCTTGCACTGTGTTCCTGGAGCCGTAGCGGAGGGGCTTCTACTGATCTTAAGAACCCTTCCTGGAGACCACGGCCTCCATCCATTGAGTGTGCCCGTGTATGAACTCGCAGCAAAAGCCTTTCAGCTGGTCTCTGACTCTCTGCCCTCTCATCTTGGCTGATCCTAGAGATGTCTTGAAATAAAAGTTCTGAAATATGCAGGAAGAGGCTCCTGGAAGTGAAGGCAAATGCAGCTGACCATCCTGCCTGGGTACCAGAATGCTGATGGCAGTGAAAAGCCTGCCCTGATCAGACAGCAATGTTTCCCAGATGGTAAATCCAGACCCTTCCATCGAAGGATCTCTTTTAAAAGCTGCTCTTTCCTCACTGAACCACCACATTGCAGGATCCTGCTTCCCTGCGGTCAGTAAGCACAAAGAGAGGAGGGCAGAGTTGGCTTACAATCTCAAAGCACTGCTGTCCCAATTCCTGCAAAAACTCCACCGTCGACAGCTCTCCTCTTGTGTACTTCCGAGATGGACTATTTTCCCCTCCGGAGAGTATAGCTTGCTGGATGGTGCCAGCTGGAACACAATTCTGGGCCTCCCAGTCTATAGAGAAAAGCAAGAAAGCCAGGAAAGAGGATGTATGGAACCAACAGAATTGGGAAATCAGCTTGAAATCCCTCTGAAGTTGATACATCAACCAGCACTCATGAGAACGGATGTGCTGGACTGGGGTCATTTACCCAGCCACGGAGAGAAGTTCTGGCATTCCCCCAACTGAAACACCTCCCCTCGGTTCTTGGGGTGGGACCCTTGGGGTAAGAACACTGAGGTCTGGACATGTCCTGGAATACTGGGTGGTGTCAGGTGGTGTCACGACAGGACAGCTTCGTCACCAGCTGCATCAGGCCCTGATCTGGAACTGCCAACGGGTTCCTGTCAGTTCTAGTACTCTGATGGTACAATGGACTACCATCCTCATCATTGCATGCTCTTGAATACCTTACCAGACCCACCAGCGGCTGACAAGGACACCTGAAATTGATTTTCCCCTCCATGCACAGAAACAACAGGAGCAAATGAAAAATGAGAACACGCACCCGCGGCTGTCTTGTAAGGGGATGGGAGGAGCACCCCGCCGGCGTCAAAGATCACAGCTCTGTAATGGCGCCATCCCGATGGCCTCTGCCCAACTAACCCCTGTGGGCACTGCCGCAGCGCGGCACAGCGCAAGTAAGGGGCGCGGGCAACACTCCTCAGGTACATGCTGCGGAAAATTCACAAGTGGCCCATGCCAAGGAGAGAGGCTGGGACAGAGAGCACTGCAAAGGAAAATAATTACACGTGTGCATGAAGTGTCTCAGCCAAATTCAGGCACCTGAACGTGGTTTTACAGAGGGTCCTTCCACCCTTCCAACATTCAGGCAGAACAGAATTTGACTCATCACTAACACCTCTGTCACTGATCCCTAACCACAGCAAAACTCTGCAGAACAACGGTTTTTTTACAATATTCCTGTTGCTTGTCTACTGAACCAGCTATCCCTGGGGTCAATCTTGCTAGATTTACTTTTCTATGACCTGGCTGATGCTGAGAGGGTTTCAAAGAAGCAGCTACCGGATCCCGCCGCTCTCTTGATCACCCACGAGTGTCCTTAGGCAGCCCTATGCCACGAAGCATTTTATTCCCAGGGCTGGACCGTCCTTTAGGTTTTTTTTCCCTTAAACACAACCCAACGCCTGGCACAGCAAGATACCAGCGTGGCGGGTGTGAGGGGAAAGGAAGAAAGGGTGTGAGGGG